ATATACGAGAAGCAGCTGGCTTGGAGGGATTACCTAGTAGCGAAAACTTCCAGCCTGGCGCACTCACTTGCCCCCCTCCCTCCCGCTTCTGCGATGTCCCCTTCCTTCACGCCTCTCGTCCTTCAGCTGTCACGAGTGTTGGACATATACGAGACGCATCTGGGAGGGAGGGACTACCTAGTCGGGAACTCTTTCGTGCTGGTGGGCCTGACCCACCTCCTTCACCCCCCCCCCCGGTGGGGGAAGGGGTAATGAGGGACTACCTCCTCACCCCCGCCGTGCCGTTTTCCCCCCTTTCAACCTGGCTTGGCTGCTCCCCCTCCCTACCGGCACCCTCATTTGCAGCTGTCCTGTATTTTGGACATATACGAGAAACATCCGGAAGGAAAATCCTATTTAGTCGGAAAAGCTTTGAGCCTGGTGGATCTTTCTCACTTGCCTCCTCCCCTCGTCCTCCTGCTTTCCCCTTCTCTCCTCCCCCCCAAGCAGCTGTCCCGTGTGTTGGACATATACGAGAAGCATCTGGAAGGGAGGGACTACTTAGTTGGGAACTCTTTTTCCCTGGCGGATCTGACTCATCTGCCCTTCACGGAGCTGTTGCCGGCCGCGGGAGCATTTGATTTGATTGAGAGCCGCCCGAACGTGTGCAGATGGTGGGCGAGGATATCGAGTAGAAATGCATGGAAGAGAACACAGCAGGTGGAGCCCTATGAGTTTTGAATGAATTCCGATAGCTTGTGTGTGTTTGCAAGGGGTTTGCCTCAGGGATTTTGAGAGTGACATTACCCATGTGCCTTCAATTTCATAAAATTCACAAACCCATATGCTATAAAATTTTACGAAACACAGAGAATCCGAGGCCCAATGATCTTATAATACATCATTGTTCAATGTAGGGCTTGTAGAGGGTGCAGTAGAATGTGTAAAGACACCAAAGTGATATTATCATCTAGTCTAATAATAAATTCCGGGACATGTTTCTGACCTCCAAATATCGCGACAGCCAGCACTCCACTAAGGAGTACAAGAAACCATGCTTTCTAGGTTGCGGGAGTCCCCTAGAAGAAGTCAGTCAGCCGAACAAACCTAGAACCCGCGTTACGCGTTAGTAGCTACTATGGGTCGCAGAAGAGAGAGGAAGGCTAAGGGGGTTTTAGGAGGCGGTGGCCGTCGAGTGAAGCTCGACCTATGGGGACCGGACCCGACCGAAGGTTCGTCAGACTTCTTAGTGGATTGTTCCTTATTTCGTGTCAGACGTGGTGTATTCTTATTTTCCCGGGCCATTTTTGGAGTCGACTGATTATTAATATCTTCCGGTTAGTTTCTGGCACTTCCTGAACCTCATACATTTTCCTTCGGGGTGGTATTGTTAGACTCTTTAATCGGTTCACCGCCAGGAGTTTCCTCGATGCCCATGGCCTTCTCGTCGTCTGGAATACCGTTCCTATATCATGATACTCACTATTCAGCTCTCGCGCGTATCTCGGCAAATCTATAGTCAGATATGCTCTGGCTGAAGCCAATAGAGCGTCGGCCTCGGTCCCGTTCCGGATGCTTTTTCCTCTTAGATTTTCTTCAGTCTAAACCCGTTCCTTTTCCCCCGATCCGTCGTTTGCTCCTCTCGGCAATCCCAATGTCAGATGCACACGCGGAGGCCGATCAAGCAGCTGAGAAAGAGCATTTTCCAGGCGAAGCTTCCCGGTTAGGGGGTGGCGATCAGCCAGTCACAGGATCGCCGTCTTTGGCGGAAGCCGCCGCTGCTGCAAGCGCACCCCCGCCCGCTGTAGAAGGTGCGTGGAAGCTTCTCTACCTTCCACTCTCCCTATTGTTACGTGTGCGTCCCTTGTGCGACAGTCAGAGGCCCATATGCGATTATGTGCGACAGTCAGAAGCGCATGTGCGAAAATGTGCGACAGACAGAGGCGCATGTGCGATCATCAGGCGAAGATTGCGAGCGTCGATCATCAGGAGGGTTCGTCTGCTCTGTTACAGCCCGGATTTCCACAGTTGAGAGCTGGACTGAGCTGTTGCTGAGACAGCACAAGGGCGTGCTCGAGTCAGCGTTGAGGCCACGCGTATCTGCCACGTCATCAGCCTCACCATGCTGTCGTCATCAGGCCAATCCTCGTGATAGCCGCTGTTGCAGCTGTACGGACGCGGGGTGTTTTCTGTGACCTCGTGGCCTAGAATCTGCTGCAGTGCTGAGGGAGGAGCAAGGAACTTAGCCTTCGATACAAGCACGGCGACGTGATAAAAACGAGGATAGGGGGGGGACAGCGCAGCAGAAGGAGGAGGATTGGCCGGCAGGTTGCAGCAAGCTCGTGTCCCCCCGACAGGTCCAGCCTGGCAACGGAAGAACCGGTGATTGGTGCGTCTCTCACTCATGCCTCGCGGTAGAATGGATGGCTCATCATCCTGTCTCCGAACGGTAGGCGACAACAGGCGATCGAACGGTAGGTGCAGGTTTGTGTCCGCCCCTGCTCCCTGCATCGTGTACATGCTTGTATGATGGTATGTGATCACTTGTAGAAAAGACTTCGAACGCTCCGTTTATGCGCTTGCTAGACCCTTCCTGGGCCTTTCGTGCCTGCTAGACCCTTCGTCTGCTCGTCTCGGGGGGAGGGAGTATGCGTGTTTTTGAGGCGCCTCAAACAGGGAGTATGCGCGTTTCCTTTGAATGGATGGTGCACTGCAAGTGAGCTTTTCGGTGACACACGCCGTTTGGACACTTGCGTCTCGGCGTAGTAAAACCTTAGGCGGAATCTATTTTTGAGGCGCCTCAAAAATAGGCACCCACCGTTTGGACACTTGCGTCTCGGCGTAGTAGAACCTTAGGAGGAATCTGTTTGTTGAACCTCACTCTGTTTTGCCCTGCCATTCTGCATCCCTTTCTTCTCTCTTTGCTTGCCTGATGTTTTGGGTTGGTTATTCTCCCAGGCACTAAGGCACCGGACCCTCTCTCGCTTCTAGGAGCTTACAGTGATGATGAGGAGGAGGAGGGGGAGGAGGAGGAGGAAGAAGAGGCGGAGAAGAGAGAGGGGAGGAGTGAGGGAGGAGAAGTGGAGGAGGGTGTGCAGGGCAAAGAGAAAGGAGGTGTTATTGCTGGATTGACGCAGGGAGCAGATGGTGACGGACAGGGGAGCGCGGAAGCAGTCGAGATGGATGATGAGGTATGCAATGCAAAGCCTGTCTTTCGGTGGCAGACAGAAGGATATTCCACGACTGACGCGGCGGACTAGTGATGATCTTGGGAAGAGATGGTGGCGGACAGGGGAACGGGGATGCGGTTGAGATGGATGATGAGGTAGGTGCAGGTGTTTCGAGTGGTTCTGCCTTGAACATAGGTTTGTTAAGGAATGGGATGCGGTTGAGATGGATGATGAGGTAGGTGCAGGTGTTTCAAGTTGTATTGCCTCAAACCTTGCCACTTCCGTCCGACTTACGTCCTGCTTGCCGCTTCACGTCCCCTCCTCTTGACCCACCAGGTGCATCCCCCCCAGTGCCATCATGACTGATCCGAACTGGTTTTGAGGCGCCTCAAAACTTGCCATCATGACCGATCCGAACTGAAAGAGAGCCGCTGGGGAGCAAGGGGGAATAGACGAGATTGCGCACCTATCTGCCGTTCCTACTCCCCCTCTTGCGCCTTCTCCTCCCCTCATTGCGCGAGGAGTCTATTTTTGAGGCGCTTCAAAAATAGACTCCTCTTGCGCCTTCTCTCTCATTGCTTTCTCTCCCTCCCCTCCCTCCCCTCCCTCCCCTCCCTCCCCTCCCTCCCCTCCCTCCCCTCCCTCCCCTCCCTCCCCTCCCTCCCCTCCCTCCCCTCCCTCCCCTCCCTCCCCTTCGCCCATCAGGTGGTCGCCTCGCCTTCATGTCTGAGCTCGAAGAAAGTGGCCTCCTGGACGAGCAGGGGGGGGTAGAGGAGGAGGGGCGCGAGGAGAATGCACACCTTATTGCCATGCCCTTTCCCTTTTCCCCTTCCCCTTCCTCTTGACCCATCAGATGCTCGCCTTCATGTCTGAGCTGAAAGAAAGTGGGCTTCTGGACGAGCAGGGGGGGACAGGCGAGGAGAAAGCACCTCTGGATGGTATGCAGGTAGAGAAGAGAGTCAGAGGGGAAGAAGAGGGAGGAGCGAAAGAGGAGGAGGGGGGGAGACAAATTACGATGGAGAGTGCTGAAGAGGCAGCGGAAGCGGGAGGAAGGGAGGATGGAGAATCAAGAGAGAGGGGGGGCGAAGGTGTTCAAGAGATAGAGGGCGAAGGTGGAAGAAAAAGCGATGCCCGGGAAGGCGCTGACGAGGAGAAGGAAAAGGTCGAGGAGAAGGAGAAGGGGGAGGGGGAGCAGAAGCCAGAGGAAGAGGAGAGGGCAGATGAAGAGAAGCCGGCGGAGGAGCGTTTTGAATCAGCTGCTCAGCCAGAGATGGCAGTAAGTGTGTGGCAGGCGGTGTTGGAACCAGAGAGTGGGGAGTACTACTACTGGAACACAGAAACCGGGGAAACTTCCTGGTCGGTTCCAGAGGAGCTCTTAAGCAAGAACGAGGCTGGTAGTACAGCTGAGATTGGGACTCCAGGTGGGGTAGAAGGAGGGCATGAGGGGGAAGGGACGGGTGCTTTTGAGTCGACTCAAAAGCAGATTCCGACTTCAAGGGGGGTAGACGAAGGGACTGAGGGGGAAGGGAAAGTGGGGGAAGGGACGGGTGAGGAGGTCAACGAGTCGGGTGCCGAGGGGATGATTGAGGAAGAGGCGGTTGAGAGGGGTTCGGAAGGCGGATGGGAGGTGGGGAGACGCGAGGGAGAGAGGAGGGAGTTTGTGAGTGACGGAGGGGAGGAGGTTAGTGGAAAGGGTGAGGAAGATGGGGATGGGGCGATGGTGGTGAGGAGAGGGGATGGGGATGGGGATGGGGATGGGGATGGGGATTTGGCGATGGTGAGGAGAGGGGATGGGGATGGGGCGATGGTGAGGAGAGGGGATGGGGATGGAGGTGAGAATAGGGCGGACAAAGCGGAAAAGGCGGATGAAGAAGAAAGGGCGAAGGAAGAAAGAGCAGAAGGGGCTACGGGGATGGACGTTGATAGCGGTGATGATAGTAGCCTTGGCGAAGGGGTGCGTGTTGATGCTGCTGCTGCTGCTGCTGGTGCTGCCACTGCCTTACTTGAAAGCACGGGAGATCAGGGAGAGAGACAAGTAGCAGCAGAGCGACACGTGGCAGGGGGCGATGATGTGGAGAGCGCCAGTGCCATGTCAGCAGTGCTGCGGTCCTTGCAGGATCAGGTTGGCTCAGCAGAGGCTGAGCTAGCAGCCATGGCTGCTGACGTGGCGGTTAAGGCAGGTGGTGCCGTGGCCAGGCTGGAGTCCTTGCAGCAGCAACTGACAGCTGTCGCGACCGGGCTTCCTGCTTCCAGCCCCGTATCCTCTTCTGCACCCTCCTTCCCTTCCTTCTCATTTTCCGCCTCTCTTTCCTCCTCTCTCTCCTCCTTCTCATCCTCCCTTGCTGGACTACAACTCGAGGCCTCCATCCGTCTGGCTGACCTGACTTCCCTCTCAGACGGATTCGTACAGGCCTCTGCAGCAGCAGCAGCATCAGCAGCACCTACCGCTGCAGCTGTAGCACCTCTTGCTACTGCAGCTGTAGCACACGTTCCCTCCGCTGAAGAGCCACAGCCTGCTGTGCTACAGCAGTGGCAGCAGCTGCAGCAGCGGCTGCTACAGCTGAGGCTACAGCAGGGCTTGCAGCAGGGGCTGGTGGTGGCTGTGGGGCACTGCCTAGAGCAGGTGGGTCGGATGGAGGGAGAGGGGGAGGAGGTGCAGGAGAGAGTGGAGAGAGTGAGGGTGCGGTGGGGGGAGGAGAGACAGAGGTGGGAGGAAGAGGAGGCGCAACGGTGGGAGGAGGAGAAGCAACGGCAGGAAGTAGAGAGGCAGGAGAGGCAGGAGAGGCAGGAGAGGCAGGAGAGGCAGGAGAGGCAGGAGAGGGAAGAGGAGAGGCAACGGCAGGAGGAAGTGGAGGAGGAGAAGAAGCAAGTGGCAGTTCGGGAATTACGGCAGGAGCAGCAGCGGCAGCAGGAGTGGCAGCAGCAGCAGAAGAGGCAACAAGAAGAAGAGGTGCAAAGGCGACTAGTGAAGGGGGAGCAAGAGGAGAGAGAGGAGGACGGGGAATGGCGAGGGCAGGTTGGGAGAGCGCAGCTGGAAGGGCGTTTAAGTGGGGGGGAAAGGAAAGAGAGGGTGGGGCAAAAAGCACCGGTGAAGGCAAGAGACGCGAGGGAGGAGCAGGAGGAGGGTAGGGGAGCGGTTGAGAGGGAAAACGGGGGGGTGTGGAAGGGTTTGGAGCAGTACTCGGCATCAGAGAGTGGGGAGATATCACCGGAGAGGGAGGAGGAGGGAGAGGAGGAGGTGGTGGGAGGAGCAGGCAAGGGAGGAGTGAAGGAAGGTGGTGCTAGTGGGCCGGGTGGTGATGATGATGATGAGGATATGGAAGTCGAAATGGAGGTGGAGGGAGGGTTAGATGCAGGTGGAGCAGTAGTTGGAGGAGGAGGGGAAGGAGGAGCAGGACGAGGAGGAGGAGGAGGAGCAGGAGGAGCAGGAGGAATTACAGGAGTGAGAATAGGAGAACCAGGAGGAGTAGGAGTTGAAGTAGCGCAAGGAGACGCAGGAGTGCCAGGAGTGCCAGGAGTGCCAGGAGTGCCAGGAGTGCCAGGAGTGCTAGGAGTGCCAGGAGTGCTAGGAGTGCCAGAGCAACCCCCTTTGCCACCAGCATCACCACCACCACCTCCCCCTCCCTCCCCTCCTCCTCAACCGCCCCAGTCCCCCCTCCCCCCCCCCCGCCTGATGCTCCTGAATCCGTGCACCCTTCTACTGCTGCTGTTGATACTGCTGCAGCCTCTGCTTATGCGGCTGATCCTGCTGCTCTTAGTGCGGCCGCCACTGCCTATGCTTCTGACCCTGCCCGTGCATTAGCAGCAGCAGCAGCAGCAGCAGCGACTCCAGCAGCAGCAGCAGCAGCAGCAACAGCGGGTGAATGGCCATACGCAGTCACAGCACCATATGCGTACAACCCAGCAGCAGCAGCAGCAGCAGCAGCAGCAACAACAGGCTATGATCCCGCTGCTGCTGCTGCCTGGGCTTCGCATTATGCTGCGTATGCAGCAGCAACAGCAGCAGCAGCGCCAGATTCCTCTCTGCCCTATTCAGCAGAAGCAGCAGCAGCAGCACCAGCAGAGTATACACCGGAAGCAGCCTACTACCATGCATACGCAGACATGTATGGCTACACCCCCACATACCCCACGCCCACAACCGTCTCGTCGGCTCCTGTAACCTACGCTGCTGCTGCCACTACTGCATCTGCATCTGCTGCTGCTACCACTGCATCTGCGGCTACAGCTGCTACAGCTGCTGCTACATCTGCTGCTGTTACCACTCGCCGTCCTCGGGTTGTGGTGGCTGCACCTGCACTAGTGAGACCAGCGGCGCAGCTGGCTGGGGGAGAGGGAGCAGAACCAGCAGCAGCAGCAGCAGCAGCAGCAGCAGCAGCAGCACGCACAGCAGCAGGAGGAGGGGGGCAAGAAGGAACAGACGGGAGGCAAAGGGAAACTGTTGCTGCTGCTGCCGCTGCTCCTGCTGCTCCTGCTCCTGCTCTTTCCACGATGGATGCTGTAACAGCCGCTGTTGCTGCTGCCAAGCACCAGACAGAAAGGGGTGCGTTGCCTCTCCCTTGTTCTCTGCTCATTTTCCTCACTCCCGCTCTCCCTTTCTCACTCCCGCTGTCCCTTTCTCACTCCCGCTCTCCCTTTCTCACTCCCGCTCTCCCTTTCTCACTCCCGCTCTCCCTTTCTCTCTTTCACCTCTTGTAATCTTCGGTTCTTATTCTTTCCCTTTCCCTCTCCTCACGTTATCGCCTTGACCCTCCTGCTCCCTCTTCCCCTTCCTCGTCGTTTTCTCCTGCGTAGTAGATGCTTCAAACTCCGCTTAACGAGGTGACGTTTGAGTCGACTCAAAACTCACCGCGTTACAATATCTCATGACACTTTCTCCTGTGTATTGTTTTTTTTTTTTTTTTTTTTTTTTTTCCGACTTCCCATACTCTTCCTTCGCCTCGCACCCGGTGTTTTTCTGCTTGCAATTCGCTTCCCCCCTTTTTCCCCATGCAGCAGCGAAACCCAAGAGGAAGGCAGCAGTGGGGGGAACACATGCGAGCAAGAAGGTGTCTTCTTTGGTCAACAAGGTAAAGCTCCTGGCTCGGGGGTAGAAGCCGCAAAGGCCTGAAAGCTGCATAAGTCACTTTGCTGCATAAGCCAAGGCCCACGAGGAGGGCAACGATAGGAGGGAGAGACTCATGCTAGCAAGAAGGTGCCTCACCAGTTAACAGGGTAGATTCTGTTTGGGGTTTGTTTGCAGGCAGCGGAGGAGGCAAGGCAAAAACCCATCTCCTCCTTCCTCTTCTCCCCCCTCCCCCTCCCCTCCCTGCTCTCCTCAGTGGAAAGCTGCCAAGGAGGAGTTAGACGAGGAGAGGCAGAAGAGGGAGCAGGCAGAAGAGGAGGCGGAACGGGCGTTGTACGATGGGGAGGTTATTGGGAAGAAACGGCAGAAGAAGATAGAGGTGAGAGGGAGGGATGGGAAGGGAGGGTAGAGAAGTTTAAGGGGCAGTGTTGGTTCAAGCACCGTGTCTACTGGGGGAAGGAACAGGCGTTGCAGGATGGGGGGGAGTTGATTGGGACGAAGCGGCAGAAGAAGATAGAAGTGAGAAGAAGAGGAGGGACCAAAGGCATGGGGAGGGAGGCTATGTTGGTCGGATCATGGTGTTTGATTGGGAGTGGAAGCAGCAGCAACAGCAGACAAGGGAAGTTTCCCTCCATTTGCCCTGATCCGCTATATTTCCTCCTTTTTTGCTAATTGTTTCCCCCCCCTTTTTTCCCCCTTTTTCCCCCCTTTTTCCCCTTTTTTTCACCCTTTTTTCCCCCCTTTTTTTCCCCCTTTTTTCCCCTTTTTTTCCCTTTTTCTCCAGGCGTGCCCTCAACTTTCCAATGCCAGGAATGGAAGCAGCTGCAGCTGCAGGATAGAAACGAACCTTTGAGACATCTCGAAACGAACCTTCGAGACATCTCGAAACGAACCTTTGAGACGTCTCGAAACGAACCTTTGAGACGTCTCGAAACGAACCTTCGATCTCGCTCCGTACCCTCAGCTTTGGAGTCGACTCAAAAGTCATCTCGTTTCCACTCCATACCCTCAGCTTTCCAATGTCAGGAGTGGAAGCAGCAGCATCTGCAGACAGGGGAGGCAGCGGAGAATGTCAACTTCCAGCCACCCACTGTCGTGCCCCGCCCTGTGATGGTTCTACTTGTTCCAATGTCAGGAGTGGAAGCAGCAGCAACTGCAGACAGGGGAGGCTGAGGAGAACGCCAATTTTCAGCCGCTTGCAGTCGATTGGTATGAATTGGTGCTCGTTCCCAATTCCCATAGTCTGGGTGTATGCCATTGGGTGAATAGATGACACGCTTCTTACAACTGCTCTGTTACAGTGCAGTCTCGTTTGCTACATCCTGACACCACAAGTACCCTTCTGCCCTTTACTGCCTCTCCCTCTCTCTCTCTCTCTCCCCCTCCCCCCCCCTTGTGCCAACCCCCCTGTCATAACAGGCGAGAGCGAGTGAAGAAGGCTGGAGGGGTGAATCACGCGCAGCATGACTCATCGCTTACAAATGGCGCTGGGCTGATAGTCCGGCTGCTGCTGCTACTGCTGCTGCTGCTGCTGCTGGTGGTTCTGCTCCTGATTCTCGTTTCCCTTCACCCCGACAAAACAGGCGTGAACGGGTGAAGAAGGCTAGAGGGGCTACGAGTCAAGCGCAGCATGGCTCGCCGCTTGCGAATGGCGCTGGTGCTGATAGTCCGGCTGCTGCTGATGCAGGAAGAGATGGTGTTGCGGAGAGCAGGCAGCAGGAAGCGGGAGCAGCAGCAGCAGCAACAGACTCACCAGCAGCAGCAGCAGCAGCAGCAGTGGCAGGGGGAGGTGGAGGGAAGAGGAAACGCAAGGGCCCTGATCTGAAGGCTCTTTCTGCTGGCCTGCCGGCTGGATGGCAGGTGAGATGCGGTGATGGCAGGTGAGATGCTGTAATATGTTGATGGGTAGTGAGAGGTGTATAACCCACAACGGTTTTAAAAACCACCGTTATCTCTCCATCTGATGGGCCTAAACCTGACCTGGAAGCTAGAAGCTTGGGCGGAATATTGTTGGCTGACTACTTTGAAATCAGGGTGACATCCCACTGTGATTCTGATCTCAACTTCCTGGTGAAAATATTGTTTTCTGGTGTTACTGATCGCCGCGTGAATTTGGTTGCAGGCGTTTTTGGATCCCCAGTCAAGCGACGTGTATTATGGCAATCTTTCTACTAACGAGACATCATGGGAGAGACCAATGTAAAAGAGAATTTCCGTATCTCATGGGATGGGGTGCTTTTTTGGAGTTTTTGTGTAGGTTAGCACTATACCCTCAGTCTTTGCACACTGCTCTAATAAGCAGTTCTAGCGAAGGGGGACACTCAATAGTGTCAGCTTGACTTCCAATCTGTTGAATTTTGAAAATAGAAAGCATACCTATCTATACAAATGTAACTGCACACTGACTACTGTATACGGGAAGCATGCTACCAGAGCTTTCAAGCGCTCTTCACCCTAAACAGCACGCAGCGTCGCTCATAAGGAAGATATCTACCGCCCTCGGGAGCAGCGAGCAGATCATCGCTGTTCGTAGTGAGGATCTCGTCTTCGCCTAAATCGTCAGCTGCACCGTCGCTCGCATCACTGCCACCAGCGCTGCTTGCGCCGTCGGATTCGTCGGCGAACGGGCCAGGGCTTATATCGGGGAAATTTCTGTTGGATAATTCCGAGCCAGAAGGGGTATTTTTGTCGTCCATACCGACCTTTACTTCCGCTCCGAAAACGTTAAGTGTAGCGGATCCGATCTGAACGCGTACAAGCGCGCCGTCTTCTCTGGCAGCTCCGGAGCGGAACGCGTTCACCCACTGATCATTCTCGCCGTTTTCGAAATAACTTTTCATCAGCTGCCCGTTGTAGACGAGCTCGCTGGGCCCGCGGATCTCAAAAACGCCGTCGGGAACTTGTGCAATTCCATCAAACCTAGGGACATCCGCGCAAACCAGAGCTGAGCTGTTCCCCTTCGCTTCCGCCACTTCCGCTAGCGTACCGCCGACGATTGACACAATCTCGGATGGCGTTATATCGAGCGGTGCATCGGTCACCAAAGAGGGAAGAGTGATCGTAGGAATCTCGTCCGTCGATCCGTCGAAAGCCAGGTCACACGCGGAGGGTTTAGGGTTCCAGCATTCGAGGGGGAACGGCGCAAAATCTTCCCCGCGGGGAGGCTCTTGGGGGCCCTCGGGGCAAGGAGCGCTGGAGAGGGCCTGGTCGCGGGGCGCGTGATGATGATCATCGCCGTGCGATTCGAGCATGAACCGGCCGCGAACGGAGGGCTGGGACGCGGGAGCAGAAGCCATCATAGACCGGCGGAGCTGGCGGCGGAGTTGGCGGCCGCTAGCCGCAGTGGGTGGGGGGGCTGTGGGCGCTGACGCGGGCATGTCCGAGAGAGCGGACCGGCGGCGGAGCTGGTGGCGGAGGGAGCGGCGCATCATGCGGCGCCTGGGGGCGGTGGGGACTGGGGCTGGTGCTGACGCCGGCGCCATGTCTGAGAGCACGGATCGGCGGATGGGCAAACGCTTCTGAGATACGGTGGCCTGTGGGAGAACTCTTGAAACCGTTATCTTCTCAGTCGCGCTCTCTGCAGTCGCGTTCTTCTGAGTCGTGGTCTTCTCAGACGCGCTCTTCTTAGGTGCGGTTCTCGAGGCACGTTTTAGCGCGGCGTTAGCATTCGGAGTGGCGGCGGTTGCAGAAACGGGTGAATTCTTATTGGTGCTGGGAGTGGCGGTGGTGGCGGTGACGGCGGCGGCGGGTGCGGCGATTGACCCAGTCGATATCGATTCTGTCACCCGCGTCTTGGCTGCGGGCGGAAGGACGAGATTCTTGTCGTCCGTAGGCTCGATCCTCGATATAAGCTGCCGCCGATACACGTCCCTCCACGCGGCGACGCTGCTAGTAGTCGTACTGCCTTGTAGCGCTGCCGTGCTCCCGAGACCGACGTGGGTTAGAAGCGGCTTCAGGAGGCGGCCTAGGAGGGATCGTCGGACAGGGAGAGCGGTTGCTGCGGGGAAGGTGTTGAGGAGAAGAGCGACAAAGAGTGGCAGGAGAAGCACCGAGATCGAGAGCCGTTTGGTGGCCATGACAAATCCTTGGAAGAAAGAAACTGTTCCGGGGGAGTGAAAGATACAGGAGGCCGAATTACTGGAGGAGTTGGGTGTAATACTGTCCTGCTTGGAGTCGCTAGATGGTATGCTGGTCTGCGATCAGTGAGGAGATCCGTGAGCAGATCCGTTCGAGAGGCACAAATTACGACTGGCGCCAGAGTAGCGTCGAGGTGGTATGACTTCGAACGAGGAGAAGTTGATTTGATGGAGAACTACGCGAGCAAGGCTGAGCTTTTCAATCAACAAACTAGAATTTCCCAGATCCGAGTCGCATCCCAACGTCCGACGCATGTATCCAAACTGACGGTCAGGATCACACAAGGGGCCTCAATTGAAGTGAAGAACAAGGGCGATGATGAGAAGGCGAGCGCCTCGGCAGAAAAGACCAGGTCAACGCCGCAACCTAGGGGTGCGAGCGTAGGGTCGTCGTCCGACAACATGAGACGGCATCGCACAGAACTTGTAACTTGGGCGAACATGGAATGTCTGATAGTCCGACATCGCTCGGATCCCTTGCTGTCTGCCTTCTGAACTGAATCGTCGCATGGCGGCGCTGGACCTTCGTCGAAGGTCCAAACCGAGCATGGGGAGGAGGTGGAGCGTTGAAAAGTTCCGCAAAAAAGAAGTTGAACGTGTCGGATTGGATCACCTGGCAGAGCTGCTGACCGCTTGGCAGACCGTCGAAAATGTTCCGGCCAAACCGTCGTCAGAATTCAATGGCAGTGCGAACGGCTTCGACCTGACCAAGTTTGAACAAACAGGCTGGTCGTCCGCTAGACGTCCAGTGAAACGGAAGGGAACCCATCAGCCGTCAGACCTTGAGAGTGGAGTAAACTTCTCGGCTAGGAAGGTGAAATCCTGAAACTACCACTAGGCTGTTTGGACAAGATAGTAGAGTTAGGAGGTATTCTTGGAAGGATCCAAGGTATAAGCAGCAAAGTAGCTTTAATAGGGATCATATGATGGCTTCCAATCAAGGATCACACCAATATATACAAGGAAAATGACTGAGGCGCCTCGAGAAGGTCACCCAAGTCACATCTCACCTTTGCTAAGTTAAGAACAGCAAAGCATAGGTAATGATTACATGCATACACACTTAGCCTTGCTGGAATTCTAGAAAGTAGCATGCATAGTCTAGGAATTAACTATTGCTGACAATATTCATAGAAATGATGATGTTGGGCTGAGAAAAGCCCTTAGGATCTTTCCAGAGACTAAGTCCCAGTTGAAGAATGAGACTTGAGTAGTGCAGCGGAAGTTGAGTAGTTGAACCCTTGTACTAGTATATGAGAACAAGTGATTGATTAAAAGAAACAAGCATACAGCAATATATAGAAAATAGGAAAGTAAAGCAGTTGTAGAATACAGTTGCAGGAGCGGTTATCGAGTCGCACAGCGACTCGATTGTCGCTTCGGTTTCCATCCGCGCAGTTGTAACGGTCAGTCGCAACCTCCAGTTGCGACCCTTCGAGTCCCTTCGCGTTCTCTGTCAATCCCCTCGTGTAACCTCCGTTGACTCACGTACCCGCTACGATCTTCCTCGAGTACAGTGTTACACTTCAGAAACGCTTAAGTCATTTGAGATATTTCCAACACTCCCCTTCGTTTCTAGAGTGCTGACGTGTTCAGATCCGGTGACGTTTGACTGCCCGGTCAGCAGCGTGCAGTAATCGAATTTTGCCTTCGCCAATTTCTTCGTCAGCTAGTCTGCGGCCATTTTTGTTGTAGGGCAGTAACTGAGTTGAAGTCTCCCCTTCGCGATTTCATCATTGACGAAGAAGTACCGCAGGGCGATGTGCTTGGTTCGGTTGGCGAATCCGTCCTTGTTCGCGATTTTGATCGCAGATTGGTTGTCGCAGAGGACTGAGAAGGCGGGCAGGGTCGCAATCTTTGCTTCCTCGAGTAACTCTCGCAGGTAAAGTCCTTCCTTGGTCGTGGTGCAGAGGGCGATATATTCTGCTTCAGCCGAAGATAATGCGATTAGTTCCTGTTTGCTCGACTGCCAGGAGATAGTCCCGATAGGTTCTAGTCGGTAGATGTAGCCCGTCCTTGAGCGTCGGTTTTCCCTGTCTCCCGCGTGGTCGGCGTCGACGTATCCGAGTAGTTGTACGGACGATGTCTTTACTTTAATGTAGGTAAGTCCGGTCGTCGGCGTGGAGACGAAGTAGAGTAGTGCCCGATTAAGTTCCTCGAGATCTTCTTGTTCCGGCTGCTTCAGATGCGTCGCCAGTTGGCTCGCGCTATAAGATAGATCGGGTCGGCAGGTTACTGCTGCGAATAGTAGGCACCCGAGCTTCTGCTGATACTCCTGGATTTGCTTCGTGGGGAGTTTTGCGGAGGTGTTGTTGTTGTTCCCGTAGCGGTAGGGAGTCGTGACCGTAGTCGGCGTTAGCCCGAATTTCTTCGCGACAGTGCCTGCGTATTTTCCAGCGTGTAAGTAGAACGCCGAGTTGTCTTCGACGACATTCAGTCCCAGGTACTGGGTCACTGTGTCGGACACCGTGAGTGTCAAGCCCCCTTTCAGCTCTCCTTCAAACCAGGTGGCGATGTCACTAGTGGAACCGATGTAGAGCAGGTCGTCGACGTAAACGATGAGTAGGATATACTCTCTTCCCTTTTGCAGTCGGTATATGCCTTGGTCATGCGGCAGCTGTAGGAATCCGATTTTTACGAGGCGACCGTGAAGATGCTGCTGCCAGAGCCGCAGGGCTTGCTTGATCCCGTAAAGGGATTTTATCAGCTGGCATACTTTTGTGGGGTCGTCGATGAATCCGTGGGGTTACTCGACGAAGATCTCAGCGTCCACACGTGCGTACAGGAAAGCATTTGCGACGTCGATTTGGCGCAGTGGTAGTTTCTTCGTGGCCGCGACGGCGAGTAGGATGCGCAAGGAGGTGTGACGGGAGAATGGGGCGAATGTTTCTGTGTAGTAGGTTCCGTATCGTTGATCAAAGCCTCGTACGACCCATCGAGCCTTGAATCGTTCGATGGAACCGTCCGCATTGGTCTTGATGCGGTACACCCACTTTCCCGAGAGAACGTTCTTCCCGTTGACGTTCGTTGCAGGTACCAGCTTCCATGTATTTCGGTCTTGCAGAGCTTTCAGTTCCTTTTCCATTGCCTCCTTCCATTTCGCCTTGTGTTCCCCCCCCAGAGCCTGCGACAGAGTCGTTGGCTCGCGTGGAGATGGCGGCGGCGGGTGCTGGACGGAGACCCATAAGCCAAGGATTTGCAGTCCCGTGGGTGTGTGTCGAGGGGAATTTTCATTCCCGGAAAAGGCTGCTTCGTCACCATCTTCTGGATCAGGTAAGAAGTTGGGCCCGATGCGTTCTGAGATATTCGTGTTGACCGGATGAGGTGTAGCGTAACCTTGGTCAGCGAAGTGGTAGAGGGTGTCGAGGTTGTTGCTATCGAGAGGGTTGACTTCGTCGAGTGGAACAGGTACGGAACAGTAAGGGAGTGGTCCGGCAGCTTCCGAAGCTCCAGGTACGTCTTCTTCTGCTGCGTCAGCCTCGGCAGCACGGCCAGCGAAGGAGCGAAGGCCTGCGACACCGTCGGTGGGGTCGTTTGTGTTGGCGACGTTGTCCAGGTAATGCTGCAGCGTCAGTCGTTCGTAGAAGATCACATCACGTGATGCCACGGTATTTTTGTCTTGTATGTGAAGGATTTTCCATGCTTGAAAATGTTTTGCGATGCCGAGGTGTAGTCCCCATCGTGCTCGTTGAGTGAAGCGTCCTGCTCTGGCTGTGTGGGGTCTGTACTGTACCATGCAGCCAAAAACCCGAAGTAATTTTGTGCTGCCCCTTTTTCGTGTCCATAGCAGGTGCGGAGATGCGTTGTTGGGAAGCGATGACGAGGATAGCAAGTTGTGCAGGTGGACTGCATGGGTCAGCGCTTCTAGCCACAGTGTGTTGGGCAATCTCATCCCCAGGAGCAGCTTCCGCATCGTCGTCTGCAAGGTTCGGTTCATTCTCTCTGCGACCCCCTGCTGCTGGTGAGCGTAGGGCAGGGACACCAGGCGTCTGATTCCTCTTTCTGCCAAGTAGGTCCTGAATCGTTATGGCTGGTATTCCAGTGCGCCATCTGACTGGAAGCTCTTGAGCTTGGTTCCTGATTCTCGTTCAGCGATGGGGAGCCACGTCGTGAAGGCTTCGAAGGCTTGATCGCGCGTCTTGAGGTTGTAGTGCCAGTCATATCTTGTTGCTGCATCGATGAAAGTGATGACATAGTTGAAGTCGGCTTCCGTGTCGTCTCAAGGCATGTTTAAGATGTCGCTGTAAACTTTTTTGATCGGTGCGTATGCAGGTGCGCTTGGGTTGTGATGTGATGGAAAAGGTTGGTGAGGAAGATCGGCTTCGGGACACGTGAAGCACCGTGCGCGTGGTCGTCGAAGTTCTTGGCCGCTTGTCGTAAGAAGAGCGTTTTTCTCTAATACTTCGGCTTGGATGGTTTGTAGTATCGTGCTGTTTGCAGGATGTCCAAGGCGTTGGTGCCAAATGTCGTCGGGGGCGCGATGGCCGGGCGAGCGTTGGTACATGTCGGCGTTGGAGAAGAACGCGACGACCGTGGCGGGACTTCGGCAGACTTCGCGTGTGATGGGCATAAGTTGATCTGCTTCGGTTGGTGGTCCACGGATCGCTGGCGATGGTACTTGGCTGGGTCCTGCTGCTGCTACTGTAGGTGATGTCTGGGAAGAGATTCTTGCTGGTACTTGTCTTTCTTGTCTGATGACTGCTAGCGCTCGTGTTCTCTCTGCTGCAGGTATGGTGTTGGAGTACCAGAATCCATCGGGGTTGAAGTCGGGGTCAAGATCCGACGGGTGTGTCCTGGCGGCGAACGACACGATGCTATCACTGTCGGCAGTACCGCGGTCGGGGACGAAGTCCAACACGAAGACGCCTGACTTCAGGAGAGCACGACCGATGAAGAGGCCACCCTTCCCGTGGTAAAGGCGAAACTCGTTGGAGTCCGAGTCGCACTCCATGTGAATTCCTTTTGCCATTAGCTGGATGACGCTTAGCAGATTGTATCCCAAGTTGTCGACGATTAGAACCTTGTTGAGTTGCAGGATGACATTTGTTTTCATGGACTGTAACTGAACGACTCCTTGTCTGTTTGTTTTCAGGTTCTCGTGGTTGGCGACGGTGATGATGACGTCGCGGTTGAGGCGTCGCTCTCGTTGC